TACGACCTCGCTGGAATTGTTTTACATTCAACCTCGCTAGAATTGTTCTACATTCGACCTCGCTCAAATTATTCTACATTCGACTTCGCTCGAATTGCTTTACATTCGACCTCGCTCGAATTGTTTTACATTCGACCTCGCTCGAATTGTTTTACATTCGACCTCGCGACCTCGCTCGAATTGTTTTACATTCGACCTCGCTCGAATTATTTTACATTCAACCTCGCTCGAATTGCTTCACTTTTGACCTTGTTGGAACTACTCCGCATGCGACTCCGCCCGAAGTCTTCAATGTTCGACCACGTCAGACATCGATCTCATCAAAAAATCAGGGACTTCCCCATATGACAAAGAAAAGAAAGCGAAAATCAAGAAACACGTAACAAAAAAGGGGGAGGGCTGTTCCATTACAACTGCCAAGTTACAATACTTTTTTACAAAGGGCCTAAAGACGCCCTCACAAAAATAGCAAAATAGAGCAAAAACTAAGTATGACGGCTTTACGCTGCGTCATCCCCATCGGCATACTCATCATCATACCAGGAATCGGAGGCAAGCCTATCCGCATCATCGTCAACATCATCCCCACCAGGTGTACCAGGGGCATAACTGCAAGCTTCACGGGCCGCACGTGCCTTAGCATGGACGCCCTCAAGTTCTGCTTCGGAAATCCTCCCGCCGTCTTTCAAAGACTTATATACGTCGAGCTGAGCCTCGGCGTGAACCCACATCTCGTACAACTCCCGAGGCACGTCAGGATCGGCAGAAGTATGAGACGTGGATGGCTGTGACTACCGTCGCACCTCCTCAGCTTTCAAGGTGACGACCTGCTCGTTCAATTCAGATAACTCTGCCTCCAAATTCTGGATCTGTTCCTTTAACCTCGCCACCATAAGCGCCGATGTCTCTGCCTCGTTCTCCCGCTTGGACCTGCAAACACAGAGAGCATCTTCTAAGGTCGCCGCTTCAGCCACAACGACCGCTCTATGTTTCTCGATACGAGCCAACTCTTCGACCTTGGCGCTCAACTCACCCCCCAGATCAACAGCATTTGCCTCACTCTGCCCAAGTTCAGCAGTTAAAAATGCCACCAGCGCTTGGAGATCGGCATTCTCAGCCATCACCCCTTTGCTCACCTCGAGCTCATCATCCTTAACCTTTAGAGCTGCCTCGAGCTCACTGCATCGACCGCTCTCATTAGCTCATCATCCCTCTCCTTTAACTCTTCATCTTTTTTCTTCAATTCCTCGTCTTTCTATTTGAGCCCGTCGTGAAATAACTGAAACTCGCTATCCTGGGTAAAAACATCAGCCAGCGTTCGGTGCTTAGTACGGTACTCCTTGTACTTGGAAGTCACCTTTTAAAAGAGGGCCGTCCTTCGCTCTTTCCTCTGTTCACGCTCGATCCCCATGATAAGAGTCTGACATGCAGAAGAAACGAGTCAGTATGAGCAGATTACACGCACGAAACAAATCCTAACATTAAAAAGCACTTACTCGTAGAGCCATGCCAGATATACTTAGCGATAAATCAGCATCGCTAATCGCCTGCAACGCCGTGCTCTCAGAAGCCGCACACAAGGGGGCAAAAGGCGGCACCGCCCGTTCCGAGTTGGCCAAAAGGTCATAACCCACTGGGATGATTACATGCCAGTTGGTACCCTCCGTCCTTACCTCCACGCGAGTGTTCCTCTCCAAGAAAGCCCGTATCTCTTCAGGGTCAATGTCCGAACCAGAACCGTCGTCCCCCTCAAGTACCGTTCCATCTCCCCCGACCGCCGACGACGCGCCACCTTCCGCAGTCCTTACAAGTTCCCCGCCTTCATGCACCTCCTCGGCCCTAGAGGACCTTCTCTCCGCAATGGCATCCGCCGTAAAAATAGCCCCTACGTTTGGTGCAAGTACAGGCACCGCTTCGGGAGCAATAAGTTTCTTCGGTTCAATACCAGTGACGACGGCCTTCCCAAGCTCCACCCTTCGCCTCTTTCTCGATGGCGACTCCTCTCCATTAGACGACTCGTCTACAAGATGGTAGATAGGCCGGGAAGAGATCTCATCTCGTGCAGCAACATTCTGAGGGGCGGAATCCCTCGTTGACAGAGCTTGAGTACGACCCCCGCAAACAGACTCGGCCAAAGCAAATTGTATCCCTGCCGATGCGATAGCCTGGCAAAATGCCGGAACTGGAGCTTTCTTCTTGGAAACCCGTCGACCTGGCACCAAAAGAAGGTCGTATCAACGAGCAATGGCAAACAACAGAGAGCTGAAGCAAAAGTAACGCTTACTAGACGGGACCTTCGGTCCGAAGCGCTTGTAGAAAACCGCCCAATCATGAATTCCCGCCATGTGAGGCAACACGCAAGCCACCCAATCTTCAATGTCGAGGACTGGGGAGGGTGCACGTCTTTTAGCTGAAAAATAAAGAGACCGCAAATGAGCCGAAAACGAAAGGACGAAAAAAGACAACGAGCATGTGACAAACACTTACGATTATGGTTCCACTGCTCGGGAAACCCAGCCGGTCCGCCACCAAAAGCTCGGTCTTGATAAAAAAGTACTTATGCCAGAACTTTCGATTCGTCCTACTGTCCATTCCGACTATCAGCCCTCTGGTCCCGTGATGTCGTTGGTGTATCATAGTACCTCTATAAAAACTTGGTGAAAATAAGTGCAGCAAGTGACGGACATCAACCTCACAACCAGCCAATTCCGTGTACTTCGTCAACATCAGAAAAGCTTTATACAAATAAGGAGAGAGTTGTGCCGGGCAGACGTTGTAAAACTGGCAAAATTCCTCCGCTAACGGAAGAAGAGGAAGAGTATAACCGATCAAGAATGGGTAGACATAGAAGGCACAATACCCAGGTCGATGGACCTCCACAATGTCGCCACCAGCCAAAATTATCTCGAAGTGGGGGGGGGGGGATGCAATATTTGGATCGAAGCTCAGCTATATGAGACGGACCAGTCTCGGAGATCACCTGAGCGGGAGCTGGCTCCTTCGGAAAATCATTTCTAGACAAAGGGTTTCTGGGAACTATTTCCTCCGCGGTAGGAAAGCTCTCATCCTCTTCAGCCATAAATTCCTCACCACTGGGAGGAGGAGCCACCGATAACGGAGTGGCATCGGAAACTTCATCATGAATGCGAAGAGTTCGTGACATGTTTCGACAATGAAATGTGTTCTACCAAACCCAAAGAAGAAGATAACAACTAAGTAAGGAGGAGAAGAATGGAACCGGAAAAGCAAAATCTAGAGCAGAAACTGCAAAGAAGATCAAAGAAGAATAGTGCTCATGCAAGGTAAAGGATGGTGAAAACTTCTGAAAAATGAAATCCCTATCTATTTATAGGGCAAGGGATTGTTAATGGCACCAAAACCAAAGCGACAGGAACACAGACGTTGTCTCGGGAAGATGCGTAATATTGACGCGCGTGGCCATGACGTCACCCCATGGTAGCCACACCAATCACGACTTCACTGGTTGTGCCGTTCTCTCCACCTCGACCGACCCGACTTATTCAACACAACCAAATTTTTCCAAAAAGGAGGCGAATCAGGTCCGCTTATCGAGGGTGTGCAGGACCACGACCTCAACAAACAGAGGGACTAACTGCATTGGTCTAAATTTGGCGACTTGGCAGTAATGGATAAGCGAGACCAAGGACGGGGTCGACCGCGGTGAAATAGCTGAAGGCTGCTCTTAAGAGGGCTGATGCCAAAGACGGGTAGCTGAGATGAAGAAATAACGGTAGCATAGGTTCAGATATGGACACAAGGAATATTCCTTATTTTGTACTGTTTAGGGTTTCTGGAAAATATCCCTTATAAATAGGAAGAGATATAGAACAAAAAAAGGAGATGTGAACTTTATGAGAAAAAAAACATTGTAAAAAGTAGACCTGAGAGAATATACAAAAGTTGCCTTGTTCATTGATTACTTTATCCACGCATACGTTTTTTATTCTTTGCTCACAAGATCCAAGATTCCTCAACCATCTTTATTCCTCCTCTTTCCCTGTTGCTGTCAGGGAACAGAACCATCCAAGTCTTACAATAATTGGGTGGTAGATTTCTTTTTGTCATATTCATTGTCATTGTCTACATTTATTGCACATTTATTTTATTGCATTTATGAATCAACACGAACACACTAATTAATGTTGTTTGTCTTACCGACTTCACCTAATATTTGATCTAGATTTTATTATTCTTAACTAAGATTCACCCTTCATCTCATCATAAATTGGTTTTACTAAAAGACTTAACACTTTTTGGTCAAACATTCATAAATACCATGAAGAAAACAATAATTTGGTGTTGGATTCAGACAACGAATTATCTTTCATCATAAGAGATGGAATTAAAAATAAATTGGTGCTTTCTTATCTCATGCACAGCACTCTCATCCTTATCCAATATTAATTACTTAATGGAAACAAGTATTTTCTCCTTTCCTATTCCAATTTCCACACGAAAAACGTATTTAGGGGTTTATTCTCAAACTCTGACAATATAATATTGAAGATCAGCTCAAATAAACATGCACCTTCGTTTATTATTCTTTTGTTAATTTCCTATTTCTTTGCTTTTTTCTTGTTTTCTGTTTTTGGGTACATCAACTTCTCATTTCAAGCATTAGTGAACTTTATTACGAAGAAATACAAAATTTTGTGCAAACGCGTATAAAAAAAAAAAGGTAGAGTAGATCAAAACAATAATCCAAGCCACTCTCTGGTTGTGAATATTATATTAGTTCTAAATATTAGCATATAACCACCATACAATAGCAAGCCTGAGGATTAATTATGAAGAACTTGGTAGGAAGCGCTTTAACAAATATTAGTAAGCTTACCGAATGCAAATCTAAATTATCCGACACTATGCAGAGGATGTCAAGGGAAGAGGATGGAACGAGAAGATCATGTGAAAGAAAGAAAAATGAATGCCAAAGTGAAAAGAAGAAAGCAACTTTTCCTACTATGCAGAAGATTATTAAGTCACTGACATCCATAATCTTCAACACTTAATCTACTATTTCCAGAGTTACTATATCCATAATCTACAGGAGAACCACTCTCTTGAAAATATTCTTGCTTTTGTTCCTTATTAGCAGCTTCGACATGAGAGTAATGAGAACCCTCCCCTATTGAACTTTCAAGAAAATCATCTGTTTGTGGTCCAAAACTTAAGTTAATAGGACCCCTTTGGTTCTTGATTGGAGAAGTGTGACAACCAGTGTATTGTTGTACAACTGCTCGAAAATTCGATATGCTGGCATTAACAAGAGTAGTAGGAGTTTTCTTGGAAGCTCTTGATCTCCTTCTCACTGGTTTTGATATAGTACTAGTTTTAGGGCTCAACTGATGGTCACCATTTCCAGAAGAATTTTCAGGACTTAAATTGGAATACTGATAATCACTACTTATTGTAACATGACTTGGATAGGTAGTAGTAGTGTTCATGATTGTAGAATCTTGAGAGAAACTTTCATAAGGGGTATTTGCTAGTTCAAAATGATCTGTTTGTTGGTAATATGGCATTTGGATATCCATATTCCATTGAGTAGGAGAAGTTGGGATAGTGTTGTTATTCATGTTGTTTGTGGGGTTTATGGTTAGGTGGATAACCTCTCTATATAGCTCTCAGTGTTTTTCTTCACTAGCCAGTTTGTCATAGAATTATGAATCAAATGCTTTGGCTTTTAAGATCTATACAAGACTTATTAGTCAAAGTTAGACATTTTTGTCTTGATGTTCCTGTTCAACTATAAGACAATCTTGACTTTTGACCATTCAAATGTTGAGGTAAGAGAAGTAAATTTTTTTCCACCCCCCCCCCCCCCCCCCCCCCCCAAAATAATAAAAAACCAGCTTCATCAATTCCCTCTTCCAAGTTACTGATTTTATACTTCATTTCTTTTACCAGGAGTACTGTTTTTTCTGCCATCTTGTGGGGCTAGGTTTGAGAGAGGGTGTATAGAAGCCTAAGGGATATGTTGTTTCTTGGAAATAACATGCATGCTACATGACAAATAAATAAAGGAAATAGAATTCTTGGAAAGGAAGATGAATCATATCTAAGAAAATCTACTACTCTATTACTTTAATTTCTAGTGCACATGTCATGTGAGGAAATAAAATGCTTTTTTTCAAAGCTAAAAAGATTAATAGGAAAATCAAATTGTACTCCTCTTGTTTTGAAAAGATTGAAGAGGTTCATAGCACGAGGGCCAAATTAATCTTTCTAATTTTAATCTCAATTCAAATGTCAATTTGTTAAAGTTTTTAAAATAAATTTAGATAATTGGAAACTAACATAAAAGCAATTAAGTGAGTTCTTTTCTATTAAGAATATTGGAATGGTAAGTAGTACATTAGCTTCTCATAATATAATTTGTTGCATCCTTTAATTAATTTCTTGTTTATATGTTATTCCTGTTATTTTAATTTATTTGAACCAATTTTCTTTTTAGTCTGGTTCAAGAAGAGTGATCCTTTTTTTTTTTTTAAATTGAATGTAATTTAGTTTAAATTTTCATTATACCTTTAAATGACGATATATATATATATATATATATATATATATATATATATATATATATATATATATATATAGTGTGTGTATA